CTTTAACACCATGCATTTTAGCAGCACCTCTGTTGCCGTAACATACATAGGGCTGTATTGCGTGTGGTGTACCAAGATGGTCGTATGTTCAAAATGGATGTTTTTCAGTGGCCATTTATGCACCAACGGTTTTCACAATCTAACCGAGAAGCATATCTTAATCTTTTAGAGACGGTTTCGACCTGACAGCACTGAATATTCAGCGAGCACGTGACCACGGTTTACCGGGCTACACCACCATCAGAAAGGACTTCTGTGGACTCGGCGGGATTAATAGTTTCCGGGACCTTTTCGACAACGGCGTCATGACACGACAAAACTTCGAGAATCTGAAAGACACATATGCGTAAGATTTTGACATCAATTTAATCACATCTTGAGTGTCATGATCGAGGGTGTAAACTTTCGTCATTGACGGGATGATGATAGAAAAAAATATTACAAATGTCAATCTGTTAGACATTCGAAAAGTGGGTCCATGCATGGGGTGTGTGCGAACAAGACTCACAATTGACTTTTCACTTTAAGTATTTATTTGTGTAACGTGGAGCTTTTTTCCTCTCTGTCTCATTTATTGAGACCGATGATACCCAAAGTACCAGTTAATTTTGGAAACGCGCACAGCTGCATACATCTGGTACTCTTTTTCAAAATTCCCTGTCCTGTCACATTCCAAGATTGAAGGATAACAGATGGAATTTCATACCTTGATGCAGCGCATTTCATTGTTTGTTGCTTGTTTAACCTCCTGTGCCTCTTTTTTACCTTTTGATGATGTTCGTTCCCATAGTGACGTAAAGGACATAGATGCTTTCGTGGGCTTCGTCCTCGAGAAACCTCTCCCTAACGCCTTGGTCGGACCGACTCTGGCTTGCATCTTCGCCGATCAGTTCCGCCGACTGAAATTCGGCGACCGTTTCTTTTACCAGAGCTTGTGTCAGTTCACTCCAGGTATGGAAAGGGACCTTTGCCAGTTATTGCTTAATTTAAAGACGTAATGCTGTTTCATATCAAGTTAAATTAAAGGCATCCCAAAAGAACGACACTCTTAAATCCTCCACCCAAAAGGTTCACCAAGCCTCTACCCTACTACTTTGACGATGTTCTCTTGTACTCCCTTCACCTTTTAGACCAATACGCTAGAAAAATTTCTCCTCCCACAATTTTTAAAGGACGTCGGCCATGGGCTCTCCTTCACTCCCCGAAATGAAGCATCAAACAAATCAGTTTTGCTTTAGTAATCTCTTTGTCTATTACATGAAAAATTGGGCTCCTTTATACCAGAAAGCTTTTTGATTTTATTTTCACGACCATCTACGGACTTAATTCAACGCCGTGGCCTTAACATTACACGCGTTCTGTTGACTGTTATTCATATGCAGCGCAAATACAAGAGATCGAAAAAGCCAGCATGGCCAGATTGCTTTGTGATAACGTCGAGGCAGTCGATGAAATCCAACCGTACATATTCATGAAGGCTAGAAATTTCGGGAACTCGGAGAGACGTCAACAGGGAAAAAGAGGGTAAGCAAAAGAAGAAAACTATTCGAAAAATATCGGGTAGGACACAATCTAAAGATTATGAAGCGGCTTAATTGAGAATGCATGTAGCAATGATATTCGTCCTGAACTACAAATGTGTGGAATTAAATGGAAATCAGAAAACATGGGGAAATGTCTAGAATTTTGGGGTATTCAAGAAACTCGCTAACATAGAAGCTATAGAAGTAATTAGTTTGTGGGATTGAAGCGCTGTCTGAACGATACGCCGTTTGCATTAAAAGGCCCATTTTCTGAATCCATCCCAAAATGTCAAAGTTCAACTCGATAGA